GGAGCTCAAGACTCACCTGGCCATTTCTTCCTGTCTTGTTACTTACAGGGGCATCAGCCCAATTTGTATTGACTCAACCAGCTTCCTTGTCAGCACGTCTTGAAGGAAAGATCCAGATCTCCTGCACGAGGAGCAGTGGAGCTCTGTCTGGCTACTATGTGTCCTGGTATCAGCAGAAATCCATCAAGCCACCCAAACTACTGATTTATCAGCACGTCTACAGGCCTGCTGATGTTCCAGACCGATTCTCTGGGGCAACCGACAGTTCCAGAGCTACTTTAACAATTACGGGTGTTCAACCAGAAGACGAGGCAAAATATTATTGTCAGTCTTATGACAGCAACTGGATGTTTCACAGTGATGCCACCTGCACAGGGAAGTGAGGCGAAAACCTCCTTCTGCAGAGGGTGCTTTCAGTTTGCATTCCTTGTGGTGGTGTAGCACCCTTCATGCGCAGCAATGTGGGTCTATTACACAGGTATCTATCACAGAGAAAGGCAAGTGAACGTGGGACTTAATAAGAAAATCCCCATGGGAGCAACAGATTAGTGGATGCCACTAAAAGGCCAAGCTGAGGGCGAAAGAAGAAGGGGACGGTAGAGAATGAGGTGGCTGGATGGAGTCACTAAAGCAGTCAGCGTGAGCTTAAATGGACTCCAGGGGATGGTAGAGGACAGGAAGGCCTGGAGGAATGTTGTCCATGGGCTCGCAGTGGGTCGGACACGACTTCGCAACTAACAACAATAACATCAGCGACCCACCTGGCTGTTGATATGGAAGGATCACAGAATCATAAGGGTTGGAAGAGATTTTGGAAGTCCTCTAGTCCAACCTCCTCTCTAAGGGCAGGAGTCATCAGACTAGCCTAGACAAATGATTGTCTAATCTTTATTTGAAAAACCTCCAGTAATGGAGTACCCAGAAGTACAGGATGCTGGCTGTTCCATGGCTTTGAAGCTCGGAAAATTACTCCTTCAGTCTGATCCTCTTTCTTAAAGTAAAGCTTTTGTCTATTGATTATTGTCCTGCAATTCAGGCACTAGACCAGAGAAAATAAATCCATACTCTCTTCTATGTGACAACTCTTCAAATATTGGAAGACTGCTTTCATGTCTCTCCTTTGCCTTCTCTTCTTTAGGTTAAATTTACTGAGTTTTTAAAAGAACTCAGTTTTTTTTCTTCCTAAGATTTAGCTTCCAAATTCCTGGCTATCTTTGTGGCTTTTCTACGCTACCTCCTAACTATCTTTGTACTGGGGCAACCAAGATGATACAATATTCAAGCCATGATCTGATCAGCGCAGAGTAGAGTAAGTTTATCACTGCATCCTCTCTTGATGCAGCTCAAGATTGCATTGAATTTTGTTGGCAGCTTCAATATACAAATGGCTTGTGTTTAATCTGTGATCTATCAAGGGACCCAAATCCTTCTCACAAATATTACTACTGACCCAGTCACCACCAATATTGTATGTGTATATTTGATTTTTTTCCTACTAGGTGCAGAACCCTACATTTCTCATCAATGAACCACATTCGATTATTATTATGCATTAATCAAATTTGTATAGCTGTCCATTTCACAAAAAGCGATTTTGGGCAATGCACATTTTTGTTGTTGTTGTTGGAAAAGGCCCAATGTTACCTTTTAAATAAGAACCTTTTAAATCCTATCTTCTGAGGTATTAACATTCTTACACCCACGCCCCCAGCTTTCTGAGGTTGACAAATATGCTTAGTATCCATCTTTTCTATCTCCTTATCTAAGTAACAAGGGAACGTGCATAAGCGCACCAGTGTGCCTACTGTCTCTGTCCTACTGTCCCCATTTATTTGTACTCATTTCCTTTGTTCATGTCCATGTTTACACTTATACCCGTTATCTTGTACATGTTCGACAAACTAATTAAATTAAAAAAAAAATAACATATAAAAACACTGAAGAGCACTGGAGCCAGGGCTGAGTCTGGAGGTACTCCACTGAACACCTTCTTCTGTGGAGACATAGTTGCATTAAGGACCACATATTTGGTACAGTTGCTCAGCCAACTGAAAATCCATCCATTTTATGAAGAAGGCAGCTATGGTTAAGTGTGTCTAATACCCTACTGAAGTTTTGTAAATAAACTTTATCCACCACATTCTTTGGTCTACTAATCTTAGTCACTGTGTCAAAAACAGCAGTAAGATTAATCAAACATGAACTGGTTTTAATAAGCCTATGCTGGCATCTAGTCATCACTTTGTTTTGTTCTAAGTACTTGCAAATGCATGTTCAATGATCTTTTATAAGATTTTCTCAGGCATTCATGTTAGATTGATTGGCCTATAGTTTTCTTGGTTCTCTTTTTCTCTATTACAAAGAACTAGAAAAATAGCCCTCTTTTTTAATTCTTGCATCTCCCCAGTACTCCATGATGTTTGAAAGATTATAGTTAGTACTTCTGAGAATGCATCTGCTAGATCCTTTAACACTTGGTATGTAAACTATCCAGCCTTGGTAAATTAGATTCATTCAAAGCATCTTCAAAGTGCTCTGTCACCTTTTTGTAATCTGTTTTGACTTGACCCCAGCATTTATTTCTGCTTCCCATGATGCATTTTCAGGTTGGACTACTTCCCCCCCTTATTTTTGTTAAAAAAAGGTACAAAATAGGTACTGAGATGGGGGAGAGAGATGGAGATGGAGAGAGAGAGAAAGAGAGAATCCCTAGCAGGAAAAGTCTGAGCTTATATCTGCCTAAAAGCTTGTGTGCTATTTATAT